TTGCTCATTGTTTGGGTGCATTTCATAGTTTTGGTTTCTGACTCCCTCTGCACACCTTCTCAGTTTGATAAAAAACTGCTTTGCATCTAGTTGTTTTGAGACTCTTGTCCTCATAACAAGCCTGTAAGTTTATCTTGTGTGGACTTYATGCTCATTATTTTCTGCATCAGGATCTTCAGCCTCCTTTGTGCCTTTGTGACTGTGAAAATGTTTGGGTTATTAAAATAAAATAACTTTTTTGCACTCACAATTTCTTTATTCTATCACCCAATTTAACAACTTAGAATCTGACTTATAAAACATGCTATTATTACTTTTCAAATATAAAACTATAAAAATGGCTTCAGGAATTTTTTAAAGGAGGTATTATGCAATTTTATTTATTTATTTTTTTAGCTTTATCTCATGTTATGTCATTCCCTTATCAAAAACACACCCAGAGTGTTGCTTTGACTCATTTATGGATGTTTGAGTAATCCTTGAATCTCCTGTAGCCATGTGGAGCTGTCTAAACGCTCACTGGTACAAAGCTCCGCCTATTTACACAAAGCACCTCCCTGGAGCTCAGTCTGCAGCAGAGCTTCCGCCCCACAGTGCACCCCTCCCTCGAAGTCGAAATGTCAGAAACGGTAGGTGGTTCTTAAAGGGACAGAAGCCAATTTCGAGGAGTTTAGCTATGATGCAAAGTCAAATTAATTTTTTATATAAATAGCATTTTCATAACAAATGAAGGTAATACAGTTACTTGATTGTGGTATAGATTGAAACTATGAGACTGGAAAATGCACAATACCCCCACCTCTCCATCCCCCTTAAGCCACCTTCACTAGCAACTCTTTCATTGATTTCAGAACTAACAATAGGACAGGTTAATGATGCAGAAACATTATCTGTTTGTGTAACTGCAGTAGTTAAAGGCTCAAAGTTAAAATACTTATGTGGAAATGCTCTGGGGATAACAGGTGCATTTATTTATGAGACCTCAGTTAACAGGCCTCCAACACCATCTGGCCACTCATTAGCCCTGCCTTGTATTGGCCATGTTGTTTAGGCTTGTAGCACACCTGTTATTACTTCACCTTTCCACTGCTTTAATGGTGAAAGTAACATATTTAGCTTAGCTGTACCTTGTGAGTTTCACTTAACGATGGCTCTGTTCACAACGCCAGCTGGTAATCAAAATGACAGCACGGAGCAGTGTGACTACATGTCCAAGGGAAAGAAAAAGCACGGACAAAACAGGGATTTACATTAAATTAATTTGCACTTCGCATATGTTTTAATGGCAAACTCTTTAAATGATGTAAAAAGATACAGTATGATAACGCATAAAGTTAAACTGAGAAACTATTACTTAATGGATCTCAATAAAAAAATCAACATCTTCTTAAAGGTGAGACTTGTACATGGCAAAAAGTGGGTTTCAGTGTGTCCTGGGACAGCCACAWGATAAATACTGCTGCTTCATTTCAGGGTCCATAAGAACTCATGCCACCTATAATCTAGGAAGTTCTCTCATCTGATTATGAATGCGAGTAAAGAGGATTTAGGTGCTACTGCCTAAATGCTTGGCTGTACTGATTACAAGYCTGTTGGAAAGGTTACGCAACTAGAAAACTACAAGAGGAGAGAAGGTGCACCCTTCGTAAACTCTGGATCATTGCTACTTGCTGAAGGTCAAAAATGATACCAACTGACACTGGAATGAAAAGCCACCAAACAACAAAAACAACAGAAGCKTATTAATTGAAAATTCTAAAAACTAGCCGCAACTTAAACAGCGGTTTAAAAAAAAAGCTGACTAAAGACCCATTTTTTCATCAGAATCCATATTGGTGTACACACACAAGGCTTGCCTAAGTTTGCTAAAACCTTGGCAGAAAACAACAGGTGATTGGAAAGAGGCAGTCTGCTGTGATCGGACGACAGGGCAATGGAGTTACGGCACAGCAGCACGCTGACAGTGTTTGTGGTGGACTGACTCCRGCTGCTTCGAAGCGTGGCAGGACTGAGCAGCAAAAGGACTGCACCCATGCAGCCTTATTGCTTATTTCCACAAGCTAGACTAGCTTATTAGATAATGGGGAGAGTAATGGTGCAAATCCACATTAAGAGCAAGAACAAGGCTAGACATGGCCTGAGTGTGTGTGTGTGTGTGTGTGTGTGTGTGTGTGTGTGTGTGTGTGTGTG